GAAGAAAAAAAAAACAAACCAAAAACCTAACAAAACCAAAAAGACAGGCAAAGTAGAAGAGATTCTTCAAGTTGAAGAGATGAGATGACAGATTGTATTTATCTTTTTTCAACTATTATCTTTGCTTTAATGGAACGCACAAAACTACTTGCTTAAACCCTGATTCAGCAGTACCCTAGAACGAGTGTTTATGTGTTTATTCAGATAAGGTCTTGCCTGGCTTATGTTAACATGTAGACATCAAGAGTAATTATATATGCTCATCTTCTTTCAAAATTCAGAAGTTACTATCAGTCACCCAAATGATACTATTCCTCACAAAACAGTAAATAAAACCTAAGATAGTTCAAGTTTTCCCTAAGATTACTGAAGGAAACCTTTGTACCAGGCTGAGGAAAGGGATTTTCCATTAATACAAGGCTTCCAAATGGAGGGAGATGGTAACTAACTTTACAGCAACACGTGTTCCTTCTTTTCACCTGTACTCTATGGAGTATTTTCTGGGCAGCCCAGCACCTGTGCCACAGAAGCAGCTGCAGAGACACAGGACACACAGATGAAGAAGTGCATACACTAGGTAACGCTGCGACGAAAGCACAGTTTCTTTCTAAGAAAATTCTGAGGGCAGCTGTAACTACCACCAGACCACCGCAGTCCAGGCTTTGCTCCAAGTAACACTTTTCAGTCCTTATATAATGTCCCAGATCAGAAAACACATATACTCAATTTCTTTCAAAACCCAAACACATAAGCAAGCTGTTTCCACGCAAACACAAATGCCTGGAGAACTTTCTAACAGAAAGAGACGTCTGGCAGCATGCTTAACATTCTCCTTCACCATGCTTCCCACACCTTAATGCTTCAGCCCACTTAGTAAACTTGGGTAGCGTTCTCGAAAATATACAGAAGTCATGGGAAAATACTTCATTTTCCAGCAAACCTAAACTGTTCAACGGACATTTGTCTTATTCTGCCTGCCATCCGAGTGCCTACGCCGAATTTAAGAACGGAGTGCAGGCTCTTGAGTAGCTCAGCTCGAACGCTGACAAGAATGGTACAAGGTGCGGGCTACTGCAGCCTTCTGCTTCTGGGAATCCTGTGATGTACTTATGTGATACAGAGTCCGAGGCCTATTCAAGTAGGAGAAGACCCAGGAAAACAATGAACTAAGCAAAATGCTGTTCTCAGCCTTTTTTAAATCCAGTGACATTCACGAGCTATATGAAATTTTACAGATCTGTCCCGTTATTAAAAAGTCACGATAAATTTTGGAATCTCTGGTGGTGATTATCATCCTTATGGAATGCAAATTAGCACAAATCTAGAATGATGGCTAAACCTAAGCCTGAATGCATGGGGATCTTCTTAAAGCCTAACACTCTCAGTCTTCTGGAGAATTTAGGAACTGTACCAACTTGCAGTTTAACCTTGTCTCTGGTATCACTGCACTGGTACGTTCCCTTGTCTGTAAAGGTTTTTTAGCTCATTGTGTTCTGGGCTATAACCTGGACCCACCACCACCAACCTGTCTTGCTGCACCAAGTGAAAACATATTAAACTCTGACTTTCTTAACCTAACCAAATAAGGGTTTCGTGCTTCAGTTACCTTGTTATTCAACCTCACAAATGACAGGAAGGTACAGATGGATTTGATCAAATAGTAGCTGGCTGCAAGATGTATATAAACACAGAAATACGTGGATGCTTGTAAAGATCGCAAGAAAAATACACAGAAAGTGACAACAGATTGCTGGTTTTGTTGATGCCTTTGAAACAAATTAAAATTGCCAAAGCTAATAATCGGTACAGATGTATGGCAGCTACTTAATGATAATGTGAACATACCTGTAAATAAAACGTTCCTTTAGGTTGGGCATACAGCATTAAAAAGCTGTAATCCAAGTTCTGTTTAGTTCTCCACCTAAACATAAGCAGCGGATTCTGATAAGCTTTTCGAGGGGGTTGCAAAAGTTATTTCTAGAATAAAGGCATTTCTAATGCTCTACAGTAAAATTGTAAGGTTGAGTATTCTAACTCACTCTTAAGTGAATAAAAGTTCCTCTATAATCAGTGTAAACATTAAGTCTAAATTATTAGACTTTCCTATAAAGGTTAATATTAACTAAGGAAACAATTTTGATCTGTACCAACGCAGCCTGAAACAAAATGTCTAACAAGTATGTTCATGTCAAATGGCTTAATGATTCTACTGATTATATTATGAGCAGTAGAGAAGAACACACAATGATTATATAAAGACCTAAAATTAAGTGCTTTTACTGATGAATGTCACAAAAAACAGTTAATAAACTTAATTTTCAAGTTTAAATGTAAACACAGATTTTTTTTTAATTTTTTTTTTTTTTTTACACAGTGCAGTCTCTCATTTTACCAGAGGATGAAACTGATGTTTGATAATCAGTGCTAAAAGAGTAGAGAGTAACTTATCAGTATTTAATTAGCATAAAAGTATATCTGATTCAAATCTAATCATATCTGAAACTTAGGTAAGCATGTTTATGCCCTGCAATACATAAGGTTTATCTATAAACCCAATATACATGCATCCACACACTTGCTGATTTCCTTCGACCTAAACTCTCGGTACTGCAGCGCTCTTGCTACATTGTTGGCATAGCTTCTGATAAATTATTGTTGATCAAAAGAAAATTACTTTTCTCCAATAAACCAGTTCTGTTGGGTTATAATCTCTGTCTCAGTGAATTTGGGGCACATGAGCAAATGAAATCATGAGTTTGAATATATATAAGTAACAGTAGTTTAAAAAGCCCATGATCACCAGAAGTCAGGTCATTAATGAAACCTGCAGTAGCTGTTTCTAGTTAGCTAAGGGGCACATGGGGTTTCCTCTCTGTGTTCACAGAGCCTCTCCCTTATCTGTCACATAAAACATTTTCCTATTTTCTCCTTCATGGCCAGATCATCTAGCCTATTGCCTCTTGGCACTATCCATCTGGTTTAAAACCTGTGGGATGCCTAGAGTCGAGGCCCAAAGGAGAAGCCTTGGCTCTCACCCTGAATCTGATGTGCAGCATAGATTTTTCTCAAGATCCCCTTGTATAATAATTTCTTTAGAAAGTACACTTGAGGTCTGTTAGCTCTGAAATAAAAAAACCCTGTCAGCTCAAACAGGGCTGACATTTCCTGACAGCATTTTCCATTTAATATTCTTAGCAAAAGTTCTTAGGTTTTATACAGCTATCTTACCTTACTCTGTCCTCCGAATCCCCAAAAGTTTTCTTCAGGTTGGAAAGATCTGGATAATAAGAAGCAGGAGGAGAAATAACCTCTAAGACTCCAGACTGGATTTCTCTGGGAAAGCTGTGAAGAGAAGATTAGTGAGACCCCACTCCTCACACGACACACAGACAGCAGCTCCCCAGAGTTAGGTCTGCTCCTCCACAAGTGGAACTCACAACTCTTTTTGAGTTTTTCACTCTCAAAATGGTACTGTCCTGGAGTGGCAGTTTGGTATGGGGAGTCTAGGTCTAGTCTCTGCTCCAAGGATTAAATTTTCCATTTAAAAAGTAATTGAAAAAATGTGTAATCAACTTCGGGAACCAAACCTGGAAGTGAAATCTTCCCCTTCCTCCAGAATATGTTAAAACAACAACAAAAAAGTCTTCAGTTTTTAATAAGTCACTGAAATAAGGAGTTTTCAGAACTGAGTTCCCCAGTTCCTCTGATTAATGAAAAAATGCTAACATTAAAAATTAAGCATATCACAGTACCAGCATGCTTATGAAAGAGAATCTCAGTCTTACTGTGTAACACTGACAAAGCACCTACTCTGCAGTAGATATTTTCAAAACCCACAACAAAATCATAAGAATTATCTAAGTGCTTAAGTTGCTACATGTATTGTCCCTTGCAGTGCTCAGTGCTACTGAGGAGGACTGGCTCTTCACCTTGTCCTACCTCCAGTACTCCCAGCTGGCCTACATGCTCTGGAAGCAGGAAGCTATTGCTGTCTAGCAGGCTCAGCCTGGGGAGCCTTCTGGGGGAAACATGCACCCTAAATACAGCCTGGGAAACTCTTGAGTAGAGCAGGGCATGCAGCAAAACTTCAGAAGTGAAGGAAAAGGGCAACCTCCCTGGGCATCTTGTTCAACTTTGTTGGTTAATATTCTAAAAAATGTAGATATAAAGACTGAGAGCTCTCTTGTAGTCATTTTAAAGGAGGAGAGAGGGGAAAGGCTGTTTCACTTCAAAGACTGGCACAAGTGGGGTTCTGTCAGATAAACTGATTCATGAATGAGCTTGTGCACTGGAACAGGCTGCCCAGGGAGGTGGTGGAGTCTCCTTCTCTGGAGACTTTCAAAAGCCGCCTGGACTTGTTCCTGTGTGATCTGCTCTGGGTGACCCTGCTCTGGCAGGGGGGTTGGACTAGATGATCTCTAGAGGTCCCTTCCAACCCCTTCCACTCTGTGTGTCTGCACCAAAGAAACCAGGAACACCAGTACTGCAGCGCAATGCAGATTTCAGCTCTTGATTCTTTCAGTCAGCTGCGCTCAGCCTTACCCGTTTTGTGACTGTTAGCTATTCTGCACCCTTTCTTAGAAAGCGCCTTTTGTAAGAAAAAATACATCTACCAGTGAATGTGGGCTTTTTGCCCAAACGTTTTCATTTAGTAAGCTGCTCTGAGTTTTTTCACATGCACATGATGCCATAAATGTCCATGGGAAAGAACTGTAAGAACAAGCAAAACTGCAGTGGGATGCAAGCTTTCATTTGGTAACTCTTATGTTAATTTGGCACAGCAAAGAATAGCCATCTCATGTTACCCATAATAGTAGATATATTATAAATAGAATGAGATTGCTGTCCAAAGTACATTGCCTTCATGAAAGAGAGGCAAATGAGGAAACAAAAACACCTAGAAAACATGACAGACATCAGAATACACTGCAGGGCCGTGAAGTTTGTGGGGACCTAATATATGTAGCCTCAGGTGCTCTGAATTGCATCATTAATTTCATGGGGAAAAGACTGAGGTTCAAGTAAATATTTGTCAGAGGCTGAAGCTAAGGCCTTGCCCCATTAGTTAAAGCACATTTGTGAAATAAGAAAAGGAAAGTCTACTCATACACATCCCTCTGTGCTGAATTTCACACTGTGTCCCAATACACATAGTAAGAGTGCACCTTTATCTCTTTTCTTAGCAGTTCCATTTTGGTACGGCAGAGTTGTAATTTATTGCTGAAATGCTCAAATTCTTTCCATAAAAGCTCAAAACGCGTTTACTAGCTGTTCAGTGTCGTACGCTATGGGACTTACCTGCTTTTAACGCTTTCTGCAATACTGTTAACATATTCTGTGTTCACCTAAAGAAAGGAAGGCGGGGTTCATTTCAAGTCGCCCATTTTTGTATTAAGCAAAATTTTCTAGGGAATATTTACACGCAAACCCCCTAATTTTTATTCTTTTCTACAGCTTTCACTTATGCCAGAAAAGCACGGTCGTATAACCATCAGTAAAAAGTGCTGTTTCAGGTTAATCATCCAAAAATCAAAAAGGAGGCCTGAGGTGGTTAAGTCACTTAAGCAGAATTGTCTAAAGCTAGTGGTACTTAACATTTTTATTTAGTGTTTCTTCTTAATATAACAAACTTATGGCTCTGAGTCTGGAAATTTTGAGGACATACTAATTCATAGCTGCTGTTTCATAAAAATAACAGTTTTAGTGGGGAAAACACATCTGTTAACTATATTAAACACTTAAATTTTATGGATTGCTTTCGAAATCCAATACCTGTCTTAGCAGTTCAGGGTTGTTTTTTTTTAAAATGCACTAATAATCGTTACTAACTATATAATAAATTTATAATACGTAAAAAAGATGCAATGTGATAAGTAAAGAACTGTGATAAGAAAAAAATACCAACAACTTTGAAACTCCCTTTCAGTCAATAAGTTACTCTGGCTTAACCCATGATGTAAACATTTACCTTGATCTTCTGAAACCTTCTGGGAAAACGGTAGGTGTGGGTTCGTGATCAGTGAATACACCTGCCCCTCTCCCATAATTAAATGTTCTTATCACCTCTCATATCAGCATGATCAACCTGTCCTAGTTTACTGCATGGCTGAAAAACGGAAACTGCAAGAATGCAACTTCGGGGATGGGAGAAAGAGGAGAGACTGGTTCTTACAACAGCAGTTGAATCCTACGTTGACTGAAATGGACAATTACTGCAACCAAAGCCCCTGGCTGTTTTAAATGCCACCTCAGTTCCCCAGCAGGGAACCGTACTATTCAGAAGTTAACCCTTAAAAACACAAAGAACTCTGTGAGGCCCTGTATTAGAAGGTTTGTCTCAATGGCAGCTAGGCAAAGCTCACCATTGCCAGGGCTCTTCACTGGGAAATAGCAACTGTAAAATAAGTTCAGCTCCTGAAAATTACGCTGAAGAACAACAGCAGCCAGTAAAATTGGGCCTATCCACTTATTACTGTGACCCAAACAGAAAAATGGAAGACATGCCCTACTTAATAAAGCAAACTACGTTCCGCTTGACAGTGCTGCAGTTGCACAAGCTGCTCTAAGTGATGACTGAACTAAAAAAATCAAACTTGAACTGTTAATGAATACAGGTATGAAATCTAATGTTGTTTACGGAAGGTCAGAGAAATATGAAGAATAAATATGAAGCCTGAATAATTGAAGTCTTTCAACCTGCAAGTAACTATCACTGGCTAATTCCCTTTTGCAGCTTTTTTCCAATGTGCTAACGACATTTTGGAATAAGAAAAAATTAATTTACCCCTATTTTTTACCTTGAGCACTGTTTACTCCCCCAAACCTGGAACTGTTCAAGTCTCTGAACAGTTTTCTTTTTCACAAGAAATGCCAACAGAGAGGCAGAACGCAAGGCTCCAGCATGTCAAGGCGCTTTGCAAGATACCTGATATCAAAGCAGCATATAAATAATCTGAACTTTCGTCAGACTGAGTTCACTTTTTTCAGGTCCTACAGAGCTTTTCTGTGGAGGATTTGCTTTCATCTTGAAGTAGAATAATTTACTTTCAGAGATAACGAGTTCATATGGTTATATTTGAAAACATGACTGCAACAACTGTGCTTGTAAACGTAATTTGGCTTTTTACCCTTTGACCACCTGAGTGACAGATGGGGTATTTCCACACAGCAACACTGAAGCGCTACCTCCTCACTATCCACTCTCTCCTCTAGCACTGAAGAAGTCCCTCCCAAAGGCCTCGCAAAGAGTTTTTTGCAGGCTCTCCTACACTATTACAGTAAGACATAAATCTCCAGATTGTCTTTCTATGAGCATACTGCACCTTTCCATGAAAACTTACCTCTGCTACAAAGATGATTATTACGCAGTCGTTCTTTTGCTCTTCAGAAAGGTTGTACAGCAGGGAATGCAGGGTATTAATCAGATAATCTTGTTTTACCCTTTTCACAGTAGGCACACCCATCACCAGTGAGACTGCAAAGAAAGAAGTCCACAAGCCACATAATTTTAAGTCGGGTAAAGGGAAACTGAAATTACATTTTCATTTTGATTTGATGTGACCATGAGACTTGGTGACAGTTAATATTCCTGCAGCACTGTGACAGCATTTGCTCTACTCCTGGAAGGAGAGAGACCCCCAGCTAAGGTCTATACTGTGTAGACGGTGAACATCTGAGAACTTGGAGGTATTACCACCTCTGGCAAACACACAGGTATCTGCTGTTGAGTTCCAAAAGTGGGTATTGCAAAGTAAGTGCTAGCTCTTGGTATGGAGCTGGTCATCTGCATACGAAGAGTTAAACCAACACTTTCACTGAGCAAGTCGTCACAGGAGAAAGGCCTCAGAAAGGCATCAAAAAATCAAAACGTCAGAAATCTTTCTAAGCAGTTGAAGTGACACAAATCTGTGGCTTTGACATCATCAATAATAAGGAGAAAGGAATTTGGATGTTATTCTTCTTAAGAAGGAAGGAACTGAAATTGTCTCTGGCAAAGACTCCACTAGCAGCAACCCGTGCTATATTACATCATTAGGTTGAAAGCAGGACCTCTCTTCTATCATTGGTGAGGGCATTACTCAAGTCAGTGACCTAATACGGCTCAGTAAACCTGTAAAATTCCTAGTCCTTTAGAAGATTCCTGTTCACCAAAACCTCGTGAGGCTGGTAAGGAAGCAGCAGGTTTTGAAGGAAAGGAGTAGGTGCAGTCAGTGACTTGCTCCAGACTTCATTTGTGCCGGGATCAGCTCAAAAATGCCAAAGCTCCAACGTTCCTTCCCAGCACATAACCGGCTAAACCACTGGGGTTTTGTTTTGTTTTATGTGCTGAAGGTCAACCTGTACTTGTTAAAGTGTGGTCTTGCTATTGTGATTTTCATGTATCAATAAATGAAAACATGCAGTAAACGCAGATTTCTCTTATTACTTTTCTTTTTTTTTTTTTTTTTGGCTTGCTTGTGAATGTATCTGGTTTTCTGAGGGTTTTCTGTGACCCATTTTGCTGCCTACCTGTGGCCTTTTGCATACTCACACTGATCTATGTGTTCATAGATCTGACTCCACTAAGAACCACAGCACTGCTCCAATAGAACCACCAGCCCATACCAAGCTATTTTTTTTCAGTTAAATCAAAAGTGCTGCTAATGTTTCTTTATATAAAATCACCCCAGAGAAAAGTCAGAATTTCAACAAAATGCAGAACTCAGCAGCAAAACAGTTGACTAGTTCCTTGTTTGCTTATTCCTTTTGAATGTTCTTTTTACCTATCACACGACAATTAGAAGACGTAACAATCATTTGCATTATAGTTCACTGGACTTCATTATGCTTTCTGCAGGTGTCAGCCGATTTCTCATGGGATGAAAAAGTTACACTGAAAATTTATCAATATCCTTCAAATGACCACATCACCTTTCCATTTGCTTCTAATTTTAGCAAACTGTGTGAACTGTAAATTCTCCCTGGCTTCCTTACTAACACTAATTTTGTGGGGAAAAAAAATTATACTGATTTGGGGGGGAGGGGGGGGAATGACAGCTAATGCATCTTTGCCACGTGAATCCACGACTAAGAACAAAACATATGTTGCTTTTCAGGTATGACTATTTTTTTGTTGGGATTTGAAAAGGTTTATCACAATACTTTGAAGAAAACTTGAAATGGGGATGGGAGTGGTAACAGTGCTTTTGCCATCCCCATTAAAATTTATTGAGTTTGGCAACATTATAAAGTTAGGGAGAAAACCCCCTCTGAACTGTAAGTATGCTTCATTGCTAGAACTTAATGTAAAATATAAAATACAAACATATAGAAAATATAAGCTAAGCTTTATTTCCTACCTCCAGTTCTCTGTTGCCCAAAAATAACGTTTGGGAAAATGGCATCTTCATATTCTCGAAGGTGAGGTAGATAGTAGTACATGTTTGTAAGATGCACAGGGAGTTTTCTGGTGAGGTTTAACACTTTCCACTTCATATCATCTTAAAGAAAGAACAAACCCACATATACACATAGAAGAAAAAGCCAGCAGTGAAGCCTATTATTTCAACTGTTTTCCTCAATTGAATACTAGCAGATCACCACACACAAGGTTGTTCAATCAGAATTATTCCTCAGAAGTGATTGTATGTCATATAGACGACCCCCCTGTGGTAATAAACTGAGAAATCGCCCAGTGCAGACCCTCCTTGCCAGACAGTGGTGCAGACCTCCAAGCCTGAACATCCTGGGAACTCCACCTGCATTTCCCTGTACCTAAACAGTTGCAGGATTGAGCCATCTTAAAGCACAACAAGCAGTTCTTTTAAAAACAGCAGGGGAAAAAGTGATTTGGTTTTTTGCACAGCTGGCAAGCTACTGTTGAGATGGAAAGAAACACAGATTCTGATTAATAACTTTCTTAATTACTTAACAAACATAAACGCTTTCCCCAAAATGTAACACATGGTGGTTTTCAGGGCTCAAACAGAAGTTCCCAGGTTATAAAAAGTCCCATGGCAACAAGGACAACCAGATCCAGGCCTTCAAAAACAACTGGACTGACATAAGACTGTAGTAGTTAAGAGAAAAGTCAGGAGTATTTATTTTTTCGTTACTCGTTTAAAATAATGATGAAAATAATTAGAATATTTATTCATGTTGAAATAAATTATAAAAGAATCCTATTTTTTGGAAATCAGACATATAAAAACCAGATACCATTAATTCAATAATTTTTGTTCCTTGATACAAACATTCTTGAATGTTCCAGTGGTGGTAAAAAAATCTTTAAATTAAATTCAATAAAAACTTGAACAACTTAATTCTTAAAATAATTATAAAATCCATTATAAGATTGAAAATAAAATGCTTAATGTAAGATACTTTTGAGGGCATAGATGATATACACCATGCAATTAAAAAAAAAAAAAGTATTTGAATGGATTAAAATGAAGACTATATTTAGAAAGAATAGCAAGCGGGCTTTTGAATATTTAAGAAAACTGCTTAGAAACATCCTTCCAAGCTGCAGAAAACTTGAACATTCATAGTTTCATATTCAGCAGGTTTACTGACTTACATGAAATGTTATTTTTTCCTAAGAAGTACATCTAAGCTAAGTCCCCAAATTTACCACCTTTCAAAGTGACTTAAAACAAGTCTTACAAATTACCATCATCCGCTTTATTCCCTCATCTTAGATCAACGAAGACAGAGGCTTATTGGAAGGACAGTTTTGTCTGAAGTCTTTCAACTTCCAACAGATACTCCCACTGAAAACTAGGACCCGACAGAGATCCTCTACTCTGCAGAAAACAGTTTGGTTTTTTTTTTTTAAAAAACCTAACCAAACATGTGTGTATATATATCCAGACATCTGAGTATGAAAGAGAGACCCACAACTCCTCCCACTCTGCTTTGCCATTAAATAAACTGGAATTTTGCTGCATGGAAACATTTTTTTAACCACCTTCTTTACTTTTCAAGGACTTTCCATTTTTATTTGTAAATAGCACCTATCAAGGGTCAGGCAAGGGACTTTAATTTTATTGTGTGTGATATACATTTCATTATTGTTGTACAATAAAACTTGGCTGGAATGGGAAGCAAAAAAGTAAAATTAAAACTATGCAGTGATTTTACAAAAGTTCTGCCTTGAATCCTGTGGGGCTATGGGTAGCTGACAACATGGTCTCTATTCTAAAGCCTGTAGGGCCACAACCCTGCACCACGAAGCATTTGTTTATATGCATCCCAACAGTCCCACTGAATTAATATTCAATAAACAGACAGAGGCAGGGAAGAACAGGACAAGAAACGAAGCTGACTGCACAAAGCAGGAACGCACCTTGTTCCTTCTTCCCTCTAACAGTCCTGGTTAATTCCCTATTTTAATCTCATACCAGCCCACTCTACTGAATGCAAATAAGTTCTTTTTAAGAAGTATTTTTCAGCAGCATCCAGACTCTTTTTGAAGTTGGGGTGTGCTGTGGAATGCCTCCAGCAGAGAGATGCCCCTTCTACTGTAGGCAGCTACAGTGAGCAGATAGATGGGTAGGTACAGCAGTCTGTAAGGCAAGGATCCAATACATTTTTAAATAAGTAAGTTTAACTAAACTATGGGAAGATGCCAGATCACTAGAGTAAACTTATTTGCATGTTGGTCTCCCCTTAAAAAAAAAAAAAAAAGCAGCAGATAAACCTCAAAGGTTTTCTTTTGACTGGCATAACTTATAAGCATTCACATGTCCTTCCAATTATTACCAAACTACTTGCAAGATAAAAATAAATCCTAGAGGGAACATTCTCAGGCTGTATCTAGCCAGCAAGACCTCACGGGTCTTCTCAGCTCCTGGGTTCAAGCAAGCACCCGCTGGGATGAGACTGCACACAGCGGTGCCTGAGGTCTGCTGGCAGGATGGCAGAGTGCTCACGGCCAAGAAGTGTCCCCCCCAGATTCATTTCACCTGTATAGGAGGGGGACCAGGACCATCTGAGGTGGCATACATACCTGCCTTCCAGGGTAGACACAGCCCTAGTATTGATCAGGGTGTAGTGGCATAGTAAAAGCTGGTAAAAATAGCTTATTCACTGCTCTGTAGTTGGCACCAAGAGGGATGAGCACTGTACGAAACTCGATGAGCAATCTGTACAGCTTTGCCTCTCTGACACCACTGCAGTCTGCTGTGTCCCCTTTTTTTCTCTCCTGGTTTAGTTACTAACTGATCTTATTTAAAGAGGGGCTATAGATTACCTCCCACCCTTTTTTTAAAGGAGAAACTTTTACCTAATGCTAATATAATGAAATCACTGATTTTTCTCCCCACACCAGCGATAAAGAAACATGAGCACACAAAACTGCAAACCATTAACATAGTACACTTTTTATACATACAGACCTGTATGATTTGTTGTCAAGTTCATTCTTTTTGCAACTACACGTTTGATTTCCTCTAGGGCATTGCTCAGTTCGTGTGATCTTCTTTTATTTTCCTTTTCAGCATACAGTAGTCTTTGCCGAAGCTCCAGAAACTGGCTTTGGTACACGTCTAAGTCATTTCCTGCAATGAGAATGTCTTCTCATCCAGGTGAATTACATAATGGAATAAAAAGAAAGGTTAAGAACAGGAGACACTCCAGTGGAAGATATGACCAGAGGTGTACAAACAATAATAGAAGTTTATTCATGGAATGAAGAAGTCTGGAATGGTATTAAGAAGTAGAGTTTAGGGAGCAGAGCTGGGTAAAGGCTTGCAATTGAAGGCAAGAACAAGAGTACGACATTCATAATAAGGAAAAAGTCAGTGAAAGGCTGTGAGTTCTGGGGAATGTGCTAGCCGGTAAAGCCAACAACATTTTTCACTCGGTGACAAACAATGACCCTTGACGCACTGAAGAGTGTAGTTATGTAATGGCTTGTCTTTTGTACAAAACACTATTAGCACTAAATTGCAGATGTTAAGGTATTCAGCCTTCATCTATGAGTTAAAAAGTGCTTGAAGTATATTAAAAGTTGAAGTATATTAGTAAAGATGTCTATGGTTTATTCATGCCACATGAACAAAGGTTGTTAGACTTACTAAAATTAATATACGACAACACTTCAATAATGTCATTCATTCTGGATAAACAGGTTTTTTATTTGCAGTAAACACAAGTCCTTAATTTAATCAATGGATGTACGATTGGAAGACCCTGAAGTTTAAAACTTCTAGGAAGAAAGCTGTTAGCAAAAAGAAGTAAACATATGGCCTCTATTATTGGTCTCATTAAAAATTTAAAATATTTTCAGTAAAACATCCATAAAATGAATGCTTCCTAAGATTTTCTGACAGTCTCAATGTCCTGTCTTGCAAGAAAGGCATTCATATCTAGGAGTATTCTGTATTATCCCTCTATGAATAGAAATTTAGTGTTGTTGAAGGGCAGGGAAAACTGGATTATTTCAGCTTAGTGCAACAAGAAAGTTCTACTTTATTGAAAGAAGGCTTCCCTAAAAAATATTCAGAGAACAAATAAATAAATAAATAAATGGAAGGTCAAAGATGGAGAGTCCATATTTTAACAACTGCAGGGGAAAGGTTAAAATAGATTTCCAATACAAATCTCTCACGAGGCAGCAGGCTACAGAGCTAGAACCCCAAACGAGGTAGATTACTGGAACACCTAAGGAAGAGTCTTTCATCAGCTACCATGTAGGAACACACTTTGGTTTATGCTTTTCTTTTGCAGGTGTGTTTTCAATGCCATAAAACAACTTGTAGTTTTTTGCTTTAGAATGTATACAAATAAAATGGTAACAGGTTTAAGCTGATTTGGGTGACTGACAGACATTAATCATGCTGTTTTCATAGCAAGAAGGCGATTCCAAATAGAGCATCAATACGTATAAATACGGTAGAGATTTATCTTAAAATTCCAAGACAAATTTGAAGAGGTATCAACTAACAATACAGTAATGGATGAGCATTTTTCTTTAAACTCTCATTGCCTTTATTAAGAGTTAGCATCAAGCCCCAAGAAAAAGTGGAGGTTTAACCTGCAGTAACGTTCCACATGCTCCTGGGAAGATGCAAATAGCAAAGAGCAAGCCCAGAATGTTAGGATAACTACACGTTATCACAGGATGCAACTTACTGCTGCTGAGAAATCAGAAGATAGCAGGGGAAGCAAGGGTTTGACAAAAGGAACGTAGTATTCACTCACCCCCAGTGAAGAATGAGCTTGTTATAAACATTTAGAGTTTGAAATAGAACATGAAATGTTCAGTGTGTTATAAGAGTGTTTGTAAATGAGTGATACTATTAGTAAACCTTTGGGTAAAAAAAAAGGGGGTTTCGAGCAGCTCGCTCTGGCAGGAGGGCCAGGAGAAAGGACCTTTGGCCGTTTCATAAAACATCGTCTCTCCCCAGCAACGGCCTCGCTTGGCAACACCTCATCTACCAACAGTTCTATCAGCAACGGGGAGTGTCAGGATAAAACTGGAAAATGGCGAGATGAGGACCTACGGCAAAACTCCCAAGAACAAATAAAGATAAAGGCTTCTTTCCCCTTGGGGAGCTGATGATGAATCACTGATGGGCTAAGGAAACCCAGCTAGGGAATGTCAAGGGGGTTACGCTGGCTACAAGCCAAGGGGAAAACCACAACCACCACCAACCAGACTCAGTGAGAGTACTCAAAGACTTTAAAATGAATTTTCAGCTCTACTACAGCATTTCCTCTGGCTGTTTACTACACAGTGTCATACAGACTTATGGCTATCATAATTCTAAGTTGGCAATACTTAAAATGGTTTTAAACGCAATCCTGCGTTCTCTCCTAATAGATACGTATGTATGTAAAACTTTCTGCGCCAGAAACTGAAACTGTTTAGAAACAACACTAATCTCTAAAGCAAACACTCATTCTGAAAGTCAACCAATTATTTCTCTTAGCTCCATGCACACATACTTCCTACTGTCCTAAGTGTGTCCAGTTTCATTAACAATTGTCTCCTGGCAATAGCTAAGAGCTGTGGGTCGATTCATCACTATGTCCTCCTCGCATTCAAAAAGAAAATAAACGGAAAATTGGGAGCAGAGGAAAGGAGGGAAGAAAACACCCCGCAGTCTAGCAGTGACTCTTGTTCCTGTTTCTTGGTTACAAGCTACACCGCTTATCATACCTACAGACACTTTCTTTTAGAAACAGAATTTTGGTTAATGCTCTCTTCAGAAGAAAACTAGGTAAGCACACCAACTGCAAAAAATCTTGTCACACTCCACACTTGGAAGAACTGCTGGCTGTTCAGGTTAATGAAGCGTATTAAACCACCCAGGCGTGCATTGCGCTAACAACTGCGGCGGTTTATTATCTTCCTGTAAGTGATCTAAAATAGAGAACCTTTTCTAAATCTTGTTACACGCTTTGCAAGCGTGGGTTTTGCCTTGAGCAAGGAGGAAAAAATATCCCCCGAACAATGCTTCCGCCTTAGTTCAGAACAGCCAGTTCTTAGGCAAACACTTAAATCCAACAATGTGCTGAAGTCTGAGAGGATTTAAGCACCTTTCCAGGTAAGGACACCTTCCTGAATTCGTGCATGATCTTTAAATGTTTTGTTTGGAGCATTGCAGCACAGAATTATTTGTGTCTTGCAACAAGTTAGAGACAGCCAAGAAAAACTACCATGAAGTCAGAAGCCGCTTCACCTGCACTGGGTATATTTATCCATCATGTTTAATGTTCGTCAGAACTGCAGTAGCGTCAATTGTTGAGCTTTAACCATAGGTCACAGCGTGTCTTAAACCTTCAGGTGTCTCTGAAGTTGGTTTATTTTACATGGTTGAAAAGGGAAGCTTAAGTGAGCAGGTTAAGAAGCTTCTAAGTGTTTCAACTCATCTGTCCAGTCCACGCTCAGACGGCAACTGGGCTGCAGGGGCTATTGCTAAGGTGGAGGCTACAGACAGGAGGAGGAAGATGACTTTCAGCCAGGCACAGTTCTGGCTGAAGCTTTTGCCCGTCTGTGACGCGGCAGTATCAAATACTGGCTTGCTAAGCTAAAGCACGGGCCTTACCGTGCAGCGAGGACTCTCTCACCACGTTCTTATAGCCCTCCACGCAGGCGTCCAAGCAAGGAGAGCAACCAGGCAGCGGGACGTTCTGTCAGCGTGTCTACTCGTCTTCGATGGTATCCGCATCAGGAGCTTCCAGACAGCGGAGGGACACTGCATTAACCCAGCAACATCAAAGAAAAGCAACATGCCAGCAATGTGGGGGGGGAAGTTAGGGTTCAACTGTGGCCATACAGTTAAAGACAGATCAAGGTTAATAACTGAATTTAAAAAAAGCATTCGATAACATGGACTTGCTGTTGGGTTTGGCATAGAATACTTTCTACTGAACCATTTACATGCTGTATCTAACTGAAAATAGGTAAGTTGTAGTTTCTTTGAAACAAGTTTGCTTAAGTTCTAATAATATTTTCTTAAATGTTGGCAAACAATCCTCATTTTAGATCTGATTCTTTTCCTATATTAGGACACAGTGGTAAATGAATGTCATAGTAAAACATTCAGACAGAACATCACTATATAGGAAAGCAATAGCATCAAAATAAGTGGAAAAATTTATAAATTGAATGGACATTGCATGGTGTTTGCCCAAAATGGGTATACTTTGGTTTTAACACAGTAACGTCAGTAACATGACAGAGGGGTCCGGTCGTAATAGCAGTGGAAAATTCTGATTTGAATATGGCCTTTATCAGGCAAATAAAAAGTACTCATTCACTTCAACCAATGGTTATTGCTTTATTCTGGTTAGTATTTTAAATATTTTTACAGTTCTGCCTGATGTAGCAACAATCACTCATTCATACACACATTTAATTAAATGCCTAGCCAGTAACTAAAGTATTTTTGGATAAACCCGTGTTCCTCAAGACTCAGCGTGCAACATTAGGAAAGCATGAAGGCCATGTGTTTACACTTGTTTAAGTACAGGTTGTGATGAGACACTCTACAGCAAACAAAGAGAGGTCTGAAATGTTCCCTATCCCTTTCTCTACGAAAAGCAACAATAACTACTCTCTTTTTGTACCTGAATCTTTATAGGATTTGTGACTCTGTTCCTCTACTTTTGAGGACAAGGCAGCTACTATTCCACCTGAGGTAATTGCGAGACTCTTAGTTCAGTAAATTACACATTTAGAAGCCGGTAAAACTATGCAGCTTTTATAAGTCTTAGATATTAATTTTGATATAAAAATTGGGATCAGTAAATACTAAGTCTTAAGTCCTAGTTGAGGTGGTTGTATGCTTTTTTTTTTTTTTTTTTTAATACCTAAATGCAGAACTACACAAAGAAACTGAGTAAGCAATCAGTGGACTGCAGAAACCCTGAGTTTCAGTCACATCCTGACTGTATGCTGGGGCAGAACCTGGATGTGCAATAACCTCTGCGTGGTCTCCATTCCCCTGGAAGGAAATGTACGCATGAAGGCAAAGAGGGAAGATGTAGCCTACCAGTCAATGGGGAAAACTGGGGAAAATGGTGGTTAAACACAGCCTAACGGGCTTAG